TTTAGTGTCATTGCCATATACTGAATTGCGCCGTGAGATAACTTCTCCCGTACCCGGGAGTGATGAATCCTTTGTCAATCCACCATAGTCTTGATACACTCCTTGATATAGCCAATCACCACCGTACTGACAGCTCTGAATAGAACTGCGTTAGGCTAGTGTCAAACTGTACCAATCGGTGCACAAGGCGCTCCGGTGATCTCAAGTCTAAGGATCACATGCACCACCATTCGTTAGAGGATTTGTTCCATAGACACTGGGGTTACCATCCATATGGAATCCTCTGGTGGGTCAGTCCAGTGAACTTGCTGCGGTATATCCGCCTACAACAAGCACCCATGTGTTGCACCAGGTTGTCACCAAACAACCTTGACAAGTGAGATCAGTCACTGCCTTTCGACAGGGTCGTTCAACACTATGATAGCCTTACCGTATTATCTGTGCCCTTACTTCAGAATAATACTGGGGCTACGGAGGTTTCTAGAATGGCCACCATATGTGCTCATAGGGTTCTCACTATCAAGATTTGAAACACTTGATACCCTCGTCACGGTTCTACCATTCTAAGGACATATATCAATACATATTGCAATAATAATGATTTACACGATATAGAATAAAATGTCTTTTATTGATTAATGAACATTATTACAAAGAGTCAATTCTACAATAATTGATTGGCTCTAGGGCACCTACTCCAACAGAAGGCCCATCGGGGGTACTCCCGAACGAGCAACGGGGTAGGGCTGAGTTCTCTCAGGCAGCACCCCAAAGCCCTCTAGTTCTAACTCCGTTTCCTCCTTAGCAACCAGTTGTTTCCTCTTCTTGGTTTTCTAGCCTATGATTTTCTGCTTCGTGGCATAAACAGCCACAGGCCGAAGAGCTTCTTCACGTCACTCCATGGGTGGTCGCCTTTCGACACCGATCTACACCCCTCTTATGGGGATGAAGCTGGGGTTCACCTCGGCCAGCTCGGTTGGGTTGACCCGGGGGAATACAAACCCCCCCCCCCCCTTGTCATTGGCCTCAGAACCCTTGGTGGCATAGTCGTTGCATGCCATAAAAAGGTGTTAGCAAAAAATCATCTTTGGCATAAGGCTAAAAGATCTTTTGGGTACGAAGATACTTATGAGCTGGAGCTTCTAGAGATGTCTTGGGGCTAAAAAATATGTACTTTCACAGATTGGCAGTGGTCACAAGCAGTTTTGTGTCACGACTCTGATCGGGCAAGCGACCAAATGCTTCGATGCACCTGAAATCTGCTAGAGCCGACAACCTAGTCGTCTTGTTCTCTGCAAAAAAAAAAAAAAAAAAAAAAAAAAAAAAAAAAAAAAAAAAACTTAGTCTTAACTACCAAAAGAGAGTTAAAGGAAGGGATGGCCAGTTTGGAAATTAAAAAGAGAAAAACCTACTCAGCTCCCTAAATTTACAGACACCATCATACTCAAAGAAGAAATATTTGGTGTCATAAACCCCAACATTGCTGGGGTAACCAAATATCCCTCCCTCGACTGTAGATCGCTTCGAAAGTTATAAGGAATCTTTGTCCTTGCTTTTCTTTAGCATGTAGACGCATGCGCGTTTCAGTGCTGTTAACTCGCCAAGTTCGTGTTCGTGGAATATGTACATAGCAATCACAATCATGTACACGTTGGGCATTAGTTGGAACGATGTGACCTCAAAGTGGTCGAGGATCAATTTGATAAAGGGGTGAAGAGGTATCGTCACCTCGCATTTAAATATTGCCTTTGAGATCGTAGTCGTTCCCTCTAGAAGGTCCTGAGCGGGTGTGCGATCTATGCTGGTAGACGTTTACGTTGATCGCAAATTAGTTTACTGCTTTCTAAATCTCATCCGTAGTGGTTGTTGATAGCACCGCCTGTGCAGGGCTTACCGAGGTGCTCGAGTGCTGCGAACTAGTTCCTTCGTTTGCTCGCATATCCGAAGCATCCATCGCTCCTAAAGTCTGAAAAGGTGTGACACGTAGAGGCAACTCAATCTCCATACAGTGTGTCATATGACGACTTAAAAGAGTAAGAAAAAACTTAATTTTCCCCCCTTAACTCCTAAAAGCCCTAAACGTCCTTGAGAACTAGTTCCCAAGGATCTGTGCCCTAGGCTTTCCATTCTTGAGGGTGTTTCCTTTTTGAACAATGCCCCATAATGTGCATCATATAAGTTTACCAGGCGTTCAAACCCACCATTGTTGTGAAAGAACCAAGCTTTTAACAGGAATGAAAGGAAGAAAAGTAAGAGTTTTCCTTACCTCTTGGTTACTGGGAACGAACGCTCTGTTGTAACGGCGAGTAGGCATCAACTGGAAGACGGATGAACTTGTTTCTCGAGTGCGGAAACTCTATTCCTCTCTCTAAAGATTCAAACTCTGTGAAAATTCTGAGGTAGGCTTAGGGTTTTATAGGGAAAAAGGCAACACTTAGTTTCCTTAGCAAGCGACGTTTGGGCGGGGTGCATTCCCAACTGTTGGATGCGACCACGAGTCACCAATCCTCGCAAAGAGTGACCTGCATGCTTCATAAAGACCAATCGGCGTTTCCCTCTGTTGAAAATACCAAACGTCAGCGTGGTTATCTTCACCACATTAAATACGCCCTCATCTGCATTAATATCTTAAAAAAGAATGTCATTTCATCATGGCTTGCATTCAATGCTCATGGTTGATACTTATTGCGCAAAGATACGTCTATCAGATAAATTTTACTTTATTGACCAGGCCAACTATCAGGTGCGACGGATAACATCTGAAGAGGTCGTTCGAGTGAAACATTTTTCTCTGTGTACTAGGCTCAAAGCGAAGCAACTTTTGATTTTCGGCAGAAACACTCTTAAGTGTTTTCAGGTCGTGAACGATGGGCAAAGTTCTAAGCACGTTGGTATAGCACTGAGTAGGATCCGATCCCATGTTGCTAAACCTTTAAAGGAAAATCACATCAAGTTGCTTATGCAACTCGCGAAGCTTTGCATCACAAACCCCATTCAGTTTGTTGGTCAAGTTAAGTCGTGTGCTTTGCATTACCTCAGCCGATTTCCATCAACAATTTGAGCGAGCGATCCTCAAAACAAGTCAAATCATGGTATAATCATGAAGTTCTCGAAGTTCAAGCCTCGAACCTTAAGAACTGGGGGCTTCCGTTATGCCTAAAAAATCAAAGCTAAAGTAGACTCACGTCAGCAAGGGTTAATCAAAGTTCAGGAAGACATTGTGTCGTCCAAGCACTGCCACGTCGTCTAAGGACAGAAGGAGTAAGGATGTCATCAACTTGGCAAGTAAGGGTATGGCTAGTGAATGGTTGGGATTCATCCACTTGCCCGATCCCTACGTGATTTAAGGATACATACCACATAGCCAGCCAATAGGAAGCAAGGTAGGAACTATACGGTACCTGCCTATTGATAGACCCGTAATCATTGCCCAGGAACCTCTTACTATAAATAGAGAGTTCTTCTCTCTTCATCCGGATTCGGCTTTGGATAATATAAACACTCTCTCTCTCTCTGTATTTCTTTTCTGATCGCTACTTGCGACCTGATTGTAACCTTTTTTTCTATAAAAAGATAATGGACATAGGATTTGCTTTGAGCATCCGAACCACTTTAAAAATCATTTTCCTTTATTTATTTATTTCCATTCCCAGTTCACGTGTAATTCCTAAGTCCGCTTAGCACTTTGCACATGTGAATAGTAGGTGTTAAAATCCAACATCAACAAAGTTAATTCACATTATTTTTATGGTTATTTTTGCCTTATATTTTACTTAGATAATCTTACCATAATAGAACCATAAATAGTGAGTATGATAGGAAGATTTATAATTAACTCTTTGATTATCATAAATAAATAAATAAAAAGGACTTTGGAGTAAAATATGATCAATAATTATTTAATCACATTAGATTTAACATTTTCAATCTCTTTCAAGTTGTGTTATTCTGAGAACTATTTAAATACAATATAGTCAAGATTTTCAATTTTTATGAGTTACATTTAAGATTATAAACGCAAATCGAGTCATATACTTAGAAAGATGTCTTGAAATTATATGTTCAAAATTCTTTAAATTTCTTACATGACTATACTGAATTTTTTTAAAATCAAACCATTATATATATTATATATATAAAGTGTGCTCTAAAAGTTTAAAATTCAGAAATTTCTTTCATCAATTGTAGAACTTTATTGTTGTTTACATTTATATATAAAAACATTCTCATAAATTCATAACTCATAAGAATATTTTATCCACCAAAAATTTAAAAATAAAAATTATTGAATTTTAACAGAACTTTTTGTTTTCATAAATCACTATATTGAATATTGACAAAACCTTTTTTACAATTGAAGCCCACATTTTTTACACAATTTAAAATTGTCATTTTTCTCCAATATTACATTTATCCAAAAATACTTACACAATTTTGAAAGATTAAATCATTAATATTAACATTCAAAAAAATGATTCTAGAGCTAGATCATATTATTTCTGAACTACCTTAATTATGGACAAATTACATTGAAGTATAACTATTAGTAACCAAAATCCTTTAAAATATAGTTCTAATGTAGTTCATAAATTAGAGATGCAGTATAGACCCCCAAAGACAATAATAAGAACTGAAATATTAAAAAAAAAAAAAAAATACTGTTACAACTTATATAATCAATAAATATTTGCTATCTTACCCTTTTACCATTCATTTTGCATAAATGAGAAATTTATGTTATTTCAGTAATTTCACGAAGTTTTTTGTTATTTAATCAGTAAGTCAATATAAGTCATCAACTCTGATTTTGTGATTTTGTTTTAAAATTATTATGACAGTCCTGTAAAATATTACTAGCACCGGAGCTATGAAGAAATAATGCAATTAACAATAACCTTAAAAAACAAAACCAAGTTACAGGCTTACAGCAGTAATTTTCCCCATTAAAAAAAATAAAATAAAAAACCAAAAACCAAAAGCTAAGTCTCTCATTCAGTCTCTAAGTCTCCACTTAATTTTCATCCAGAGGTATTGGTGTTAGAGCTTTGAAACTTTCCTCCACCTCCAGCTTCCCTACGATCAGGTCGAGGATGCAACTGAGATTGATAAGTTCCAGAAGAAGGATGATGATGAGATGAATCATTAACGTTAGTATTATTATTTGAAGGGTTGGGATTCTTATTAATGTTGTGGGCGCTGGAGAAGAGATCAATCGGTTCAGAATCGGCAATTTTTCCTCCTTCAAGTGGGGTGCCATGCTTGTAACTCACCCTCAGAGTGTCGTCTTCGGATAGCTTCGCCTGCGCAGTTCCGTACTTTATATCGTCTTTGATCTTCGCCATTGATTCTTTCTGTCTTTCGGTTGTAGGTGAGAGGAACTGCTTCTTGGATGGTAATTTGCCTCGTTCTTATGTAGAATTATATAGACTAGAAGAAGAAGAAGATGAAGATGGTAGTACACGTAGCTGATTATTGATGTGAGAGTACAACACGTGTTCCTTGCTAACGCCACGTACGAGCCCTTACCTATGCTCTCTTTTTCTTTTTAAAGTTTCTTGTAATCCCATCATCTCTCACGACATTATCAATATTTGTCTACGTGATTTTTCGAACCAACGACAATTACGTAAATCTCGTAAGAAATATTATGCAAGTAGTTTGTAATAAATCGGTGTTTTAATGTTGGATTAATACTATAATGACTAATTAACACAAAAACAGAATTTTTAAAATGATTTGAATGCAAGATACAAATCACACGTCTATTATTGTTTTATTGCTTTTATGGTGTATTTTTCTAATATAAGCGAACTCAATTCTAAATACAAGTGAGTGGTTTTTACAAGAAGAAAATAAAGTATTCCTAGATCCTCTTACTAGGGTGTGAGACCCCTTTATATAATGTTGTCTATGTGGACTTACTAGTGAGATAACTCTTCCAGAGAGCAACATGCG